AGGTTGTAGGTAGGTGGTAGTGGGTAGTAGGTGGTAGTGGTAGTAGTAGTAGTAGTAGTCGTCGTCGTCGTCGTCGTAGTAGTAGTAGCAGCAGCAGCAGCAGTAGCAGCAGCAGTCGCAGCAGCAGTAGTAGTAAGCAGTAGTAGCAGCAGCAGCCGCAGTAGCAGTAGTAAAGGTGGTAGTAGTAGTAGTCGTCGTCGTCGTAGTAGTAGTAGTGGGAGGAGGAGGAGGAGGAGGAGGAGTGTTGCATGAAGTGTTCTGTCAGAGTGCTCACAACCCACTGATCTTGGCAAATGGCCACTACACTCACCTCCGATAAGGTGCGCATCCAGAGATTGGAGCACAAGCTGTTGTGGAGGAGGCAGCCCCGGATGAGTTCTATGCAATTTACCCCCCTGCCCCTCCCGCGCCTTCCCCAACAATCACTAAATCCAGTGAAAGTATCAATTTACACCCCACTAGCAATAATAATCTATACTGGACTCAAGCCTTGCTCCGCGAGCTTTCGTGACTTCGTATTACCGGAAAGGCTATCAATCCTAAAAAATTCTGCTCAGGAACCCTGTGATCATCCCCCAGACCTTCTAGTGTTGACGAGGGTGTGTGAAGTTCGTCAATGGTCCTACGGCAAGGAGCTTCATTATGACAGTGAAATAGTCTCTGCAACAGCACTGGCAGCACCACAAGCTTTTCCGCAAGCACCTGCGGAGACCTTTGGAGAACCCTGATCCTGCTCAAGGCTCCGAGAATGAGCAGGCGATAACTTTGGCTCAAGTCTCATGTGCTACAACGCCATGAGAGACGAAGCCTGACTGGTGGAAGGCCCCACTCCATTGGATGCAGAAATGTTATGATAATCTTTTTGGAAACTTCACGATGCGAGTGCAGGCTGAGTGTGCATCAGTGCGTGGATCCTGCAAAAGTCCACGAAGCTCCGGCTCCGAGCCACCAAGCCTAGCTTGACGGCGATCTGTGACATCGTTGGCTCCACACTTGCGGCATCTCATGACACCGTTCTTCGATGCCAGAGAGTCCACCGCAAGATTGGATCGCTATGCAACAGCTGCAACCTCGCGCCAGGGATCATTCTATTTGAGCCACAGTCACACTCTCTTTCGCAAAGAATGGCAAATCCGAGGAGTGGACGGATTCAGCGGCCTTTGCCAGGCGCTTCTTCTCCAACGGCTTCAGTGACAATGCCTGCGAAAAAGCCCACAGCAGTGCCACAGCGGTGCCACAGCAGTCATCCGCAAAGACACCACAACACACAGTACCTCAGCAAAGTCATCAGTGTTTTCCACGATGTCCTCCCAAGCGTCCGCATCCCAAGGCACTATGCTGACATGTCGCTGGCAAAAGATCCTCTATGGAAGCTGCACCCTGTTCATCGCACCTCATCTGCATCGGCTGACAATTCTGATTGAGCAACAGTGCGGACACAAGAGAAACTTTGGCTTGGGCCAGTCCAGCGCAGCCTGCTGAATTCTTGCGATGCTGGTAGGCTTGCAAAATGCATGGCCTGCTGCATCCTGTCTTTTGCCTGTTTTTGGGCAGGCCTGCATGTACTTGGAGAGGCGAGCACTCTCCAAAAACTTTTCCAGATCACGTTCCAAGACCTCCTGCAAGCTTGGAAAGCGAATAAGCGAGAGAAGAGGAGGAACGCCATAGGCTTCAGTGCCGGTGGGGCGCCTCCTCAACGGAGGCTCCCTCGGTGTTAATCCCATAGAGCTCCGCCATGGCCTGCCAGCACAGCATCCAGACAACGTCTGAGCACCATCCATGATGCTGCCACGAGCGGCAGGACATCGGTGAGCAAGTCGCACTGCCTTGGCCAATCGCTCGGCGCCCCAGTACTGGTTCTCGACAATGCCAGGAGTATCCTTACAAGCATGTGACGGAGTTCCATCTGACGATCAGGCTTCCACGAATAAAAGCAAAACTCTGAAAGTGACTGGTTTACGGAAGCGCGCTTTTCCAAAAGAGCTCAAGGGCCCTGCGTCCGGGAGTTCCCAAAGTTGAGCCGATAGGTACGGCGGGCGTTAGCGAGTGAAACCTAGGGGCACTAGGGTGCAAAAGGGAGCTAAACTTTCACATTCCCACTCTTTGAACGTCCCAGGGTAAGCCTTGTGCTGGGAGCTAAAGCTTCTACCAGCGCCTGAGCAGCTGCTAGCAGTTTAGACCTGGGGGTCCTGCTGCCTCACCTCGCGGAGGTGGCACGTTGGCTCGCGCAGCCACGGAAGGAAGGCCCATCTCAGGGCGTCGCTGTCCTTCGTCAGAACGTCGGCGACCATGAGCCCTGTTGGCACCCAGCGGAATTTAGGGTCCAGTGCTTCTTGAATGGCTCTCACGGCCATCAGCACTCTTTTCTCTTCCGTGCTCGGGTTCGCAGATATCACTGCGTCAAACAGGCTTCTACAGTCTGTTGCGTGCACGTGCAACAGCTTGGGCCCTGTCTTCAAGACCGACTCACCACTGATGATCTCTGTCATCACGCAGTTGGTGTGGTAAGCCCGGTCTATGGCGTCATCGGCCGCGTACGCCTCACCCGCGATGGTAGAGCGGACGACTCGTGGAGTCCTGGTGGTCTTCCAGTCCAGAAGGACACACCTGTCCAACCCTTCCAGGGCAACACGGGTGGTGAGGACTATTGCAATCCCCTCCTGAGACTTGTAGTTCAGGGCGTTCGCCCAGCTACTGTCTCCGTACGATACCACGACCGTTTGGTCATCCAGTGGTATTGGCCGAATCACCAGACCTACGTCGTCTGTTGCTTTCGCGAACGACATCAGTCGATACAGGCCTTTCAGGTCCTCGACTGTCGTCTCAGTTCCCTTGTTAGCTAGGGACACTCCTGCGGCCAGGTCGGGCCGAGTCTGTCCTGCTAGCCACTGCAGGCAGCCAGAGCATGAGCGGAACTCCGTCATCTCTGCTGGAGTGAGCAGTGGGTCGCCCTGGCTCCGGTCTCTGGTGATCTTTCCAACACTCGAGTTCTTGGTAAACTCGGTTTGTGTGATTCTCACGCAGAGCTCGCCGTTAGGCTGCTGGACCAAGACAAGTTCCTTGCCTTTGAACTTGATGCCTTTTCGGACATCGGTCCATTCTCCCCACTTGAACATCTCCTTGAGAACTGAGATGTCGTACGTCTCATGGTAACACATGAGGAAGTCATCGACGTACACGAGCACTAGGCACAGTAGCTCGTTGTCGCTATCACGAAAACTGAAAAGCATGCGGTCCAAGCTGTGCGCCTTGAATCCCGCGGCTGTCAGTTTCTTGATGACTTCTTGCGACCATAAGCGTGGCGCGTTGGGCAGTCCGTAGACGTTGCCGGTTATCTCAAAGAGAGGGGCATCAAAACCAACAGGCTGTCCGACTATCGGGTCTTGAGGAGCCGACATGTACAGTTTGTCGGGCCTCTCTCCCTGCGGTTGTCTGCCTTGTAGAAAGGCGGTGCTGGCGTCAGCCGCCATAAGGAACCATTCACCTCGTCTTCCGAACTTCTGGTTTAATCCGGAGACAAACACGGTGATCATGGCCATCTCAGACAACCGGTGAGGTGTCGGTGCTTCTCGGGATATAACCTCGAGGTCCGGGTCTTTGTGGCCCAGCACCACAATCCTCGCCTTGGCTCGAAGGCCGGTGGCTCTACCGGCGTTCTTGTTCCTGTAGCAAACCCTTGCCTTGAGCACGCGCCCTTTCAAGGCTGGGTCTCTAAGCACTCTGAGTGCTTCTTCCTTGCTGAGTGGGCGCACTGGTCCCCACTCGCGCCAGGAGTCACACTCCTTCTGCGCGGCTTCCACGAAGGCCTTGAGGTATTCACCTCCCTGCGACACTATCTCCCTCCAAGGGATCTCTCTGTCCATGGCCTTCTGCTCCTTCCTGGTGAGTTGCTCGGGGTTCACCAGGTCAGCTTGCTCAGCCGCGTAACAAGTCTTCCAGTCGGGGTGGCAGTCTTCCACCTCGTCGTCAGACTCTGTGGCGAGCCTCTCGGAGGAGTGCTCCTCCTTGAAGACTTCTGGCAGAAGAGAGGTTTTAGGCTTCCCTCTGCTCAGGGGAGACGAACCGTCCCACCCGGGTTCTGCCAGGCCGTAGACTCCTGGAGAAGTCTCTTCAAGCAGCAGGGCTGCAGGTGCCAGGCCTCTTGGCTCTCCTCAGGAGGCTGAGCTTCTGCAGCTCGCTTCGTAGCAGTGCCTGGGCTCCACTCCCACTCTTCTGAGAAGAGTCTGCCTCTGGCAGGTGCGGACAGGGGAGTGCGGCAGCAGAGTCTGCTGTCAGCTGACTCATCCTTCGTGAGGCTGGTAGGCTGGGAGGCTCAGACCTCTGAAAGCCCGCGATGGCTTCCGGCAGCAGAAGCATATCCGCGTGGGGCTCCTCTTGAGCCTGCTCCATAAACATCTCGTCCTCGTGCTGAGATACCTCGGGAACGAGGGGCTCGTCCTCAGGAGGACCTTCTTCGCGTTGGTCCTCAACTTCACCCTCGAAGAATCACGTAGCCGCCTCGCTTTTTCGTCGAACGGCCTCTCAGCTGAGACCTCCACACGGCGACCTTGGCGCCTTGTGGCAAGTCGTCCACCTTTGTGTGGGCCGTCTTCCTCAAGAGGGCTCGCCGGACGTGGGTGTCCACGTTAACGTCGGCTACAGCCTTCTGAGCTTCAGCGCGGAATATGAGCGACCGAAGTCGGTGCTGATGTTCGTCAGCATCCACGGCTAGGCCGTGCTCATCCGCCAAGAGCTCTCCGGGAATTCTGGGCATTTGCCCAAACACGCAGGCATAAGGAGACATACCGCGGGTACGGGGTGTCGAGTTGACGGCGTGGATGCAGGAGTCCACTGCTTCCGTCATTTCTTCCGCGTTCGATGCTCCTGTGGCGTCTGCCGTGCGGTTTAGCACTTCCCGGAAAATGGCGTTGCTTCGTTCCGCCTTTCCGAGCTTGTAGTGAGCTTCTGCCGGGACGTACTCCGTCTCAACACCGGCTCTCACACTAGCCATTCCCACATTTCTCCTTGAAAGCTCCCGTCTTGGTCAAGCAAGACCTTGAGAGGAGTGCCGTACGGCCGCACCCACATCTCACGGAAAGCCTCAAGGCAAGTCCTTCCTTGTGCGTGCAGCGCGAGGCTGGAGGCAGGACTGCTGGGACCTGGCCCACAGGAGGGGCACCTCTTGTGCGCCGACCAGTCGCGGCTAAGGCGAGGTACGGAAGCACTACGCCTGCCAGGCTTGGTGCGAGTCTCATTGCTCGCAGGCCTTGGCGGAGCAGTAGGGGGATCAGGCGGAAAACCTGCAGGAGCAGGCGACGCCACATCTGCCATACCGATGGTGGGTCTCCTCGCTCCATCCTCCTGGGTGGCGTTCCACACCTTCCAGGGAAGTCCCTCGTCTAGCTGGGCCTGACCGCTTGAGCCGAGACGCTTGCAGAGGTCGCTGTTGAAGGTGTACTGCAGCTCGAGGTCCGGGGCTTCGTGCTCAACGCTTCAGCTTCCTCACCCTGGTCCAGCTTAAAGGTCAGCACCTCTTGCTTCTTTTCAGCTTGGCGTCTCGCGAAGGGCGGCAGTACCAGTTCTTTAGACACCTGCTCCCAGTTGCTGGTGTCCGGGTAGGTCCTCGGATTCGAGGAGTCCCAAA